CTCATAGCCACCGCAGCAGCCTTCGGCACTACCACAATAGGTTGAAGTGGACTTTGGGGGTGTTGGAAACACGGGTGCTGGAGGTGCTAATTCTGAGGGTGCCGGAGCCAAGGGTACAGGCACTGGTCCACTACAAAAAACCTTGGTTTTTGAAGGGGGTTTGAAGGGGTGCACAGTTCAGGTGTTTTGGTTGGGGAAGCTCTGAAACCAAATTGCGACCAATCAAGGAACGAAATCGGACCGCGTTTGTTTCTTGGAAATTGGAATCGCAACGCTAGTACATTGTCGTTTATTCGGAGCTTGCCAAATTTATTGCTGATTCTGAATAAATTATTGTAGTTTTGGCTTCAGTAACCCATGACTGTATATCTAGAAGCTGGCCATTTTATTACAAGATAAATGCATCATATTTGATACTTATTAAGGAGATAGGTATTGTCTAGATGGAATGCCTTCACCACATGGACGTGGCGGAGCAGCGCTTCGATCGGAATCACGGCGCACCCATGCACCCATATCGTCCACTTAAGGCGAAGGCATTCTGATGCAGCATCCTCTTCGCTTGCATTCTAATATCTAATGTAAGCCAGCTCTTCTCGTTCTCCACGTATTTTTGTATGGATCAACAGAAGCAGCCTTGCATACCACTCATCTCTCCGAGAATACCTTACATCCTCTACTGCAACATCCGAGTACTACGGGCGCCCAAAATAATCAGGCGCCGCGCGAACGCAATAAGAAACCCTTGAGAAGCTGGCATCGTCTGATAGCCAGCGATGCATGGGCCTGCATAATAATGGCAGTTGATAACTATTTAGTTCTTGGGAAAATGATGATTGATTGCAGAATCAGTCAAGTACTTACTCTGATCTTGGCGACACATCCAGCATAACATGCTAGCGCATCCTCGAGGGCAGCGTAGGTGTGAGGATCTAGGATCGAGCTCAGAAAAGTGGGCTTGAATTGAATGATCCACCTGGGTACAACACGAGGCTATATATAGGCTCGACACAAGGTAGGTAACCCAGGTGTTACGCGAATGTTCTGAGGGTCGCGAAGCGTCCCGAACAGAACCTTCCCGAACTCAGTAGAAAGCAATTCGGTGGAAACCGAATAGGCTTGAGTTCGGTACACGTAACCTGGTTCGGTGCTATAACTATAATAAAATATAGGAATGCACCTAACCTAGGAAATCAAGCATATCTATGTATCATAAATAAAACCCAAGCTAGATATAGCATAATAAAGTCTACGCAAGCTAGCAAAGCCAGCATAAGCCGTCGTACTCTCACAGTAGGCAACGGGGTGTTGCTTGGCCCAATTCTTTGCAAACCAGTTGGTGGAGTTGGGTTCTTCTTGTAGCTCCACAGGGAGGAAGTATGACAATGATAAGAGTCCGAGTGCTAGTCTCAATGGCCTGCCAACAAATGATAGTGAGTTTATTATATTATGCATGCATATCCTTGCAATTCAAACACTTAACACATTTACCTGCCACATGGCAGTGTCCCGGCCAGCAGGATTGTCCACTGGCACAACATCCGGAATTCGCCTAGCATGGAGCTTCATGATAATCCAAAAACAAGTATGTAAGAGCATAGTAGCGATGCTTGGAGTTTAGGTGAATGGCAGCAACGAGTCCAAGGCACCAAAACACTGACCTGTTCATTTGTTTCACGCACCGCTTCTTCATCTTGCGCACGACAGCCACAATGTGGCTCATGATGCCTAGGTCCGCCTGATGCATGATGTCTGGCATGACAACGAGTTAGGGATTGGCCCACGCGGTCCCTGAGGTATCCCACTTCCAGACTACATACTGGAAATGGGGATGTGGAGTGAGTTCAATGGTGAAAAGGAAATCTAACAAATACTGAGAAACGCTGAGTGCATAGACTGTACAGTAGCCCGAGAAACAGGTTCCTCGCCTCAACCGGGTAGGTCAAGTAGGTCTTGCACATGTTGTCCTGGCTAGATGTCAATCCAGCCGCCTCATTCACGATCCATTGCTGCTGTTCAAGCGTGCATGGCGTGTTCCGTGCCTTGACAATAACTAGATGATCCTGGTGTAGCATGGGGGTGTGGGATAGAATACAAAGGTATGGATCGTGAGCTTAGGGGTTTAATCAGGCGACATTCAAACGATAATGGATTTGAAGCCGTGCACAGGGCATGCTTGCTCACCTTTGCAGCATAGCAGATGCTGCACAACATCCGCAATCCATGCGAGAATGTGCAAGTTATCTTGCCACTCTCAGGGTAGTCGCGCACCCAAGCGTACAGCAGGGGCCGCACGGTTGGCCATTCATTGAAAGGGTCCCTGAGATGGAACCCACTGCAATAGACAGGGAGAGGGGCTACAGGATTGCGGATTGGGGAACTTGGGGCATGACTGAAATGTAAACAACAGGAATGGCACATTCAGACACACTATGCATACGCAGCAAGCGAATGTATGATGTCATTGGAATATGCAAACTGAGAGTACCCACCTTTCCATGTCGTCGAGAAGCAGCTGCAGCACGACGATGACGCATCGCTGCAAGAGCATCACCTTCTCCACTACAGGCATTGAAGCAGGCGGACTAGGAAGGAGGGCAAGTAGCGCGTGCCCGGCTTTCCCCCATCGCTTGGCCTAGGTGATATTGCCAAGCGTCATCCTGGGCGGCTACGCCTTCTTCCGGCCGTTGTTGCTCATATGCGACACATCCAAATAGTGGATGATTCCCCCCTACGACTTTGGACCATCCAAAGTGTTCCTCCAATGCACGACAAAAAGGCAACGCAAAAATATTGACCGATCATGTAGAAGCATCATAAACAACCAAGTGTAGCACAAGCACAAGGGCCGCAGCAGGAGCTCAAACACCAGCAAGGTAACTAGTACCGCCAGCATTGGACTGGCTTCATATTAGGAGCAACGAACATGACACCCTCGAGGGGCTCCATACAGTTAAGCGCAGCTTAAGAGGCTCAATCATGGATCAAGTTAAGAGTCACAAAACGGTTTTTACTTACCTGAGCCTCATTCCACCACGTTCCTGATTCTGGTGTAGTATAGCGATGGTCGCCTGTCTCAGGGTCCTCATCGACACGTGCCTTGAGCTTGAAGCCGGGCGCATTGTTGGGATGCCCAAACAGTTTAGCGAGTGCCTATTGTAGGGTGAGAATAACATGCAAGAACAAGGGCATGGTTAGTGGCATGGAAGGTGTGGCCGATCCTATACAAACATGGAGGAAAGGACATAAAAAAATTCAAAACTAAAGCATTTAATGGTCTGGTATAAACAACGCCAGAGGCATGGCTTACCTGAGCCGAGATCTGGAAAAGCAGGCGCTGTGGCGGATGACCCTCGTCTTCGAAAGTCGCCACCGACCTGTTAACGGGAGTGGAGTGTTGGCCCCGCCCTCGCTTGGGCAACGACGACGACTTGGTCGGGTGTACGGGAGAAGCAGCCGACCGTTCACAGTGGGAGAGTTGCTCGACGGGCTTCGTCGAGCTGCAGGGGATCGCTGCTGTGTTGCCATAGACCAGCAGTGCTCGACGGCCTTCTTCTGTGGGGCAGGTCAACGAGGTGGCTATCGAGTTGCACAGGTCTGTCATGGGGTTGGAGCCGTTGACCAGGGAGCTCGACAGCTGGAGCTGACTGGGCTGGGCGACGGGTGGGCCGTCGTCCAGGAGGAGCAGTTCGACCGGGAGGTTGACAGAGCAGTTTGTCGACCTGACAAGTGAGCAGCGGTCGACGAGGGGAGCTCGGCGACAACAGCTAACAGTTCTGGTCGACAGAAGGGGTCCGTCGACCAAGGGGTAGCTCGACGGGAGCTGTGGTCGACCAGGGGCACCTGGTGGTCGACCAGAGGGACCTGATGGTCGACCAGAGGGACCCGGTGGTCGACAAAAGGCACTTGGTGGTCGACCAGAGCACCTGGTGGTGTCCAGGTCGACCCGGTAACTTGCTCGACAAGTTCTGCAGAGGCACGCGAACGTTTTCGAGGTCGCGATGGCGAAGGCGGCTACGGGCTGGTATCCCGAAGTCGATGTGGCTCGTCAGGTGCATAGAACCGCTGACAAATGCACAACGATGCAAGTCGGGCCAATCGTCTGCGCGCACCTGCGAGTGTGTGCACTGCTGCCATCTACGGGTGCAACGCTGGACAGCCGCACTGCTGCAACGTTGGCACGCTGTCGACCTGCAGTGTTGGTAGGTTGCCTTTCTGCAGTGCTGGCGCGGCTCCTCTATGCAACGCTAGCAGGCGGTCGACCAAGCTGTGCTGGCGGTCGACCATGCTAGCTGCAGAGTTGCTAGGTGCCTGATGTAGTCATTTTTGTTAATCCTTGTTCAATCATTCTGTAATTTCGACTTTGCTAGTGAAACTCTTGCCAACTCGTGAATGTGCAAGTGCTGAGGGATGCAAGCAAAGCTACGATCACTCTTAGTAGTTCGTGCCTACCCCCAACCCCCCCCTCGTAGTCCAGCTCACTACTTTTGTCGAGTGACTCTCCGCACGACCATCCGCGATTGAGGCCTGCCAACCTCTCCAGGTCCTTGAGGTTCCTTAGCTTAGAGATCACGAGAGGCGCGAGGCCGGGCTCTACCACGAGCTGTAGAAGGTGATTAATGTCAACGTCCGCCATTCCCATTTTGCCATTCACGTGCCAAATGAAATGCAACAGCTTCAATGCGAGCGGGTTGAGGGTGTTGTAATTTCATATTTCATACAACATACATAGGCTAGAATCAGTTCTGTAGCACATTTATAAATTGGGGGGTTGTTTAGTGTACCCTCCAACCACATTTTGTGGTTGGTTGGGATTGGTCCTTAGCTCAACCAATCCCAACCAACACACATTTGTGGTTGCTTGGGCCACAAGCAAGCTCACCCATTGGCCAACTTATTGGCCAATAGGGTAAGCTTCCCTTTCATCTCTCTCTTGCTCGTTGTTTGTACTAAAGGGCCTCTTGGCTCATTATTCAATGCATCAATTATGGCTTTTCAACATGGTATCATGAGCTATTGGCTCACGCCTTAGTCCCTCGGTCCTTAGGCCACCCTCTCCTCCCCGTCCCTCAGACCTAGTCCTACTACGGTGCTCCCAAGTTCAGATCTACCCCTCCCGAGCTCAGATCTACTCCTCCCAAGCTCAGATCTACTCCTCCCAAGCTCAGATCTTCTCCTCCCGAGCTCAGATCTACTCCTCCCGAGCTCAGATCTACTCCTCCCGAGCTCAGATCTACTCCTTCCCAGCTCAGATCTACTCCTCCCCAGCTCAGATCTACTCCTCCCCAGCTCAGATCTACTCCTCCCGTGCTCAGATCTACTCCTCCCGAGCTCAGATCTACTCCTCCCGAGCTCAGATCTACTCCTCCCCAGCCCAGATCTACTCCTCCCACGCTCAGATCTACTCCTCCCCAGCTCAGATCTACTCCCCAGCTCAGATCTACTCCTCCCGAGCTCAGATCTACTCCTCCCGAGCTCAGACCTACTCCTCCCCAGCTCAGATCTACTCCTCCCGAGCTCAGATCTACTCCTCCCGAGCTCAGATCTACTCCTCCCGAGCTCAGATCTACTCCTCCCGAGCTCAGATCTACTCCTCCCGAGCTCAGATCTACTCCTCCCGAGCTCAGATCTACTCCTCCCCAGCTCAGATCTACTCCTCCCGAGCTCAGATCTACTCCTCCCCAGCTCAGATCTACTCCTCCCGAGCTCAGATCTACTCCTCCCGAGCTCAGATCTACTCCTCCCCAGCCCAGATCTACTCCTCCCACGCTCAGATCTACTCCTCCCCAGCTCAGATCTACTCCTCCCGCGCTCAGATCTACTCCTCCCCAGCTCAGATCTACTCCTCCCGAGCTCAGATCTACTCCTCCCGAGCTCATATCTACTCCTCCAGATCTCAGATCTACTCCTCCCGAGCTCAGATCTACTCCTCCCGAGCTCAGATCTACTCCTCCCGAGCTCAGATCTGCACATTCCGCGCTCAAATCTACTCTTCTGCGCCCAAATCTGCATTCCGTGTGCTCATATTTGCAACTCGCACGCTCTTGCTAGTTCGACCGCGCGCTCTGCTCGTCTGCCCTTCGCATCCCCGCCCTGCCCGTCCGCGCGCCCTGGTCGTCCGCGCCCTGCCCATCTACGCGCCCTGCTCGTCCGCTCTTCGCGTCCGCGCCCTGCCCGTCCCCGCGCCCTGGTCTTCCACGTCCTGCCCGTCCGTGCGCCCTGCTCGTCCGCCCTTCGCGTCCACGCCCTGCCCGCCCGCGCGCCCTGTTGTCCACGCTCTCCCCGTCCGCGCACTTTGTCTCGACGTCAAAAATCTTCCATGCGTTGTAATGCTTTTCGATGCCCAGATGTAGTCCCCACTGTGCGCGTTGGGAGAATCGGCCGGCTCGTGCAGATGGGGTCGGTACTGTACCATGCAGCCGAAAACTCTCAACATTTTTGTGCTGCCCAGTTTCCCTGTCCACAGCAGATGCGGTGATGCGTTGTTCGGGAGTGAAGACGACGAGAGCAAGTTGTGCAGCATGACGGCGTGGTCCATTGCTTCGGGCCACTGGTGGTTGAGCAGATGCATGCCACGTAGCAGCTTGCGCATGGTGTTCTGGAGGGTCCTGTTCATCCTTTCTGCTACACCCTGCTGTTGATGGGCGTAGGGAAGGGAAATAAGCCGCTTGATTCCTCTCTCTGCCAAGTACTGCTTGAACCTCTGTGAGGTGTATTCTCCTCCTCCGTCGGACTGGAAGCTTTTGAGTTTCACGCCTGATTCTCGTTCTGCCACTGGAAGCCAGGCCACGAAGGCTTCGAAGGCCATGTCCTTGCTTGGGAGGTTGAGGTGCCAAACGTAGCGTGTGGCTGCGTCGATGAACGTGATAGTGTAGTTGTATGCGTTCTGCCCAGGTTCGCGATTGTACAGTATGTCGCTGTACACCTTTTCCAGAGGTGCGTATGCAGGTGCGCTTGGATTGTGATGCGAGACGAACGGCTGGTGCGGTAAGTCAGCTTCTGGGCAGGTGAAACACGTTCCGCGGACTCGCTGGAGTTCTCTGCCGTCAGTTAGAAGTAATGAATCTTTGTTGAGCACGCCTGCTCTTATCGTGTTGTTTAACACCGTGTTGCTTGGGTGTCCCATTCTTGCATGCCAGGTTCCTTCGGGGGCGCGATGTCCGGGTGAGCGCCGATACATGTGGGAGTTGGAGTAGAAGTTGGCGGTGAAGTTGGCACTTCGGTGAACTTCTCGTGGTGTCGGTTTTAGCTGTTGTGCGGGTGTCGGTGGTGTGTCGTCGACGAAGATTGGAGCCGTTGAAGGACCAGCGATTGGTGTCGATGTTGCCTCTGCTGCTGCCGATGATGTTTCTGCTGCTGCCGATGTTGTTTCTGCTGCTGATGATGATGTTTTTGCTGCTGCCGATGTTGTCTCTGCTGCTGCCGATTGAATTGTTGCTAATGCTCTTGTTCGTTCTGCCTCAGGAATAGTGTGCGAATACCAGAAGCCGCTCGGACTGAAGTCGGGATCAAGATCCGGCGGATGTGTCCAAGAAGTGAAGTTGACGATGGCGTCGCTGTCTGCGGTGCCTAAATCTGGAACGAAGTCGAGGACGAAGACGTTGTTCTTCAACACCGCTTTCCCGATGTAAAGTCCGCCTCTCCCGTGGTACAGCTTGAATTCTTGAGTGGTGATGTCTGCTTCGAGGTGAATGCCTTTTGCCATCAACTGACTGACACTTAGTAAGTTGTAGCCGAGTCCCTCCGCAATTAAAACCTTCGACATTTGCAGTATGACGTTTGTCTCTCGTGACTGAAGTTGCACTACGCCTTGTCGTCGTGTGCGCAGGTTCTGATTGTTGGCGACGGTGATGATGACTTCGCGCTGAAGTTGGTGTTCGCTTTGAACGAAACGGCCCGAGGAGCACATGTGTTGTCCGCAGCAACTGTCCAAGAACCAAGTGTCTTTCCCGGACGGCTCGCTCTGAGCGATGGCTGCGTATGTCGGATTCGGTTCCAGTGTTTCACGGTGAGGAGTACTCTCATCGAGCAATTCTTCTGGTGAATAGTGTGGTGGTGACTCGGTGATGCAGGAGTCTGACAGCCTCGCCATGCAGCTCACAATATTTCTTGCTCCTTGTGTAGGTTTTGCAGTTTGCGTCTGATTCGTGGGATGCGCCTGTGTGGATGCCACTTGGCTGCTTGAAGGTCGAAGTTGTCGTTGTGGTGTCGTTGACTGTCGCAGGCTTGGACAGTGTGTACGGGGATGCCCAGATGTCTTGCAGAGGTGACAAAATGGTGGTACGTGCTGCTGTTGTTGTTGCTTGTTCTGTCGGTTGGAGTTGTTGAAGCGCCATTGAGTGTAGAATACGAACTCAGGTACTGATGTCTTCCTCTTGTGTCGTTCCTCGTGCAGGTCCATGTCTTGCTGTTCAGCGTGAATTTTGGCGCAGAGTGCCGCTTCGGAGATCTTCCCATGGGCTCGAAGAATGGCTCGAGTGGAGCGCCAATGAGGGCCAAGTCCAGTGATGACGACTGTGACGAAGGCTTCTTCGGAGATTGATCCTCCGCATCGAAGGAGTTTGTCGCGTAGTTCGCGGCAGCGGCTGATATACGCCATCCCCTTTTCCCCTGGTTTCATTTCGACTGTTGTTAGCTGTGCCATTAGTCGACTCTGGTTGACGCTGTCTGTTGCTTGATACAGGTTCTTCAGGTGGTTATATGCGAGCTCTGCGGAGTTGCCGTATCCCCGATAAGAGCGGATGTTCTGCTGCTGGTTTGTTGTCAGATTTCTCAGCAGGATTGTATATGCCATCATCGACTGATTGGTGTACTGCTGCTTGTCGTATTGCGTTCCGTGTGTTGGATATGGCAGGGACCCATCGAAGAATCCGAGAATTTGAGCGCCTTCCATCATCAGCTCGAATTCGAATGACCAGGTGAAGAAGTCATTTCCGTCGAATGGACTTGACGTCTGCAGTTTCAAGACGTGTGCGAACTATGACTGAACTTGAAGCGCATCCAGAGTTTTCTCTTGTCCCGGTGGAGGCTGCGGCATGAAGCTGATGGAACCGCGCTGGGGCTCGTACGGAGCAAAGGTAGGCTGCTGCTGTTGATTTCCTCGCGCGTAGGATGACCCGTCGAGGCTCATGGGCGTTACGTCGTTGTTGTTGTTGCTATTGTTTGACTGCGCAGGTGCTCTTTGCTGGTGTTGTTCGTAGAAGGACATGAAGGAGAAGAATTTCTCCATCATGCTTGGGTCGAAGCCCGCGGCCTGATTCGCGGGAGTTTCGGTAGACCCAGCTGCCGGCCTTGTTGCTGTGCCCTCCTCTGTTTGTAGGCCAGAGGCAGGAGGTGGAGTAGGAGTAGTGCCGGGAGAGCCGTTAGAGGAGCTTCTCTCCTTTTGCGTTGCCATGCCTTCTTATGTTGTGGTTGTCTTGATAGCAGTTGAGTTTGCCCTGATAGCTCTCATACCATGTTGGGCTGAGAAAAGCCCTTAGGATCTTTGCAGGACAGAACTCAGAGTAGGAACAGTGTAATAGCGGAAGCGTATAGTGAAGTCCTTGAACCACCTTGCGCTAGTATGTGAGGGCAAAGTAGATTGATTAAAACAAGAGATACAAGCCTTTTATAAGAGTACAATGGAATATGAAGGGTTATAACTAATAACTGTTTTGCTGTTGCTGTTGCGGTTCGATACAGTGACGACTCGGGCAACTGCTCAATAGCGAGTTAGTTGTTTGTCCTTGCTGTCGCGCTGTACTTGTCAGGTCAAAGGTCGCTGACCTTTGACTTTCGCGTAACCTCCAGCAGTTGTTCAACCTCCGAGGGTTGACTCGCCGATGCTTCGATATGTTTGGCTTCGCTTCTGACTTGGTGTTTCGACACGACAGGGGCGCTTAAAGCCAGTGTCTCATGTAAGCTAAGGAGCCATCGACTGCAAAGCACTTGAAGCTAGGTAACCAAGTTAGTGCTGGCGAAGTTGTCTCTGGTTGGGTTGGAAACTCAGCTTGCGTCACTGCCCCAAAAGCAATTGCACAACACTTTTGGGTACTCGAGACTTTCGATGAGTTGGGGGCATTTTAGGTTTGGCTCCGAACCAAGTTTCCAAGCCTAGATGGTTCGGTTGCCCCCAGCGATTTACTTTCGTTTCGCACCCCTCGCTTCACCCCACTTAGAACCTTACACCTCGCCAACCAATCAAAGCCACACTTTCACCAACAATTGCAAAGCACTTGTAGTACGTGAGACCCTGGTTTTAAGTTACTTGTTTCCAACATGGGGTGGGGTGGAGAGGGAAACGCTGGACAGGTGACATCAGCCCGCCGCAAGACGTCGATGGGATTTCGAATGGCCAACTTTCTTCCGACACGTGCTGGCGTCTGGGTGGTACGGGGTCTAGATGGGCAGCTTAGCCAACCAATGGAGTGACACATCCGAATGTGTGACGCAACTTGAAGAAAAACCTCCCCCCGCTTTGCAAGTCGCAGGTTTTGACGAAGCGTGCAGCACGCTCCGAATATCACGGCTGACCTGAATTTGCTGATTACAAAACCCGGTAAAATGACAAACAATGTTGTTGTTTCATGATGTCTGTTATAACAATTGTAAACCTCTACAGAATATCCATATAAAAATGTAGTATTCAATTCAACAAACAGCTGCAACTTATGCCAATGCTCCCATATATTTTAGTAAAAAACGTAAGACAAGCACTTATGTTTTTATGTATATTCTTAGATGGGCATAAATCCAAGCAAGGTAGTGCAAACTTGCCATCTCCTACCGATAAGACTTATGATGCATTACCACGCCATGGGAAGCAGGGAAGCTGTCATCATGACATGGGTTGATGTACGCTATTTTACACGTCGCAACCAAATTACACAAAAAAGGGGGAAAGAAAACAAAAACAACAACGTAAACCGGTCTATGCACACCCATAACGTGTTGGTGCTGGTTGCACACCCGTAATCGTGTGACAGACGTTTGTCTGGAGACCCCTTGACATGACGGGCACATCTTCACTGCTGTCAAGAAGAGTGGTAATCGCACATCTTCATCCATATCTCACTCTTGTTCTTGTACCCGGATGCAAGATGCCTCACTTGTGTGTGTGAGGTGAGGAGCCAGAGGAAACTCCAGGAGTTGGATGCGGTGAAGAGTGAAAGGCAGGGCTCAAGCATTACAGGTGCTGCTTGGGGGGGGGGAGGAGAAACGCGAAAGGGGAGGGGCATGGGGAGAAAGCAGACGGGGTGGGGAGGGAGGACGTGAAGAGAACCGAGAAGGACCAGAGTTAATGCGGGGGGAATGTGGGTGGGGGCATGGGGGAAGGCGAGTGTGCGGGCAGCAAGAAGAGTGCCACATGAGGGTACACTTGCACGAAACAAGTATTTCAGATACACCTGTGCCTCACAGCACCACCACTCTTCCTCATCTCACGCAGCCTGCTCCTCGTGTGTATTGCGACGACTCAAAACCCACTCGGCTTGCTCCCATTGCAGCACCACCACTCGTCCGCACCCTCACACACCCCTCTCCCTCACCTGGCGGGGCAGCCGGTCACGAGCTTCCATCCACTCGTGGGCACCACCGTGCCAGTCGGCTTGCTCCCGTCGCAAATCGACAGCACCGCCGCCCACGACGACCCCCAGCCCGTCTCCATGTACAGCGTGCTGCCGTCCGTGAACTTGGCGGTGTTCCCCTGGAAGGTCGACGAGCAGAAGCGCATCGCAGCCTCGCTGTTTCGCCCCGACGCCGCGGCGTAGGCTGCTCCGCCTTCGCCGGTGGTAACCGTGTTGACAGTGGAGGTGCCGAGAGCCTTGTTGTAGTTCAGGGTGGCTTTGACGAGTGTGAGGAAGGCGTCTTTAGCGTAGATGGCTCCCCCAGAAACACCTGGATGGAGGGAGGGTAGGGGACGCCAGAGAGAGGGGGTGCTGTTCGAGAAGTGGCCTTCCCCAGAAACGGCCTCCTTCCGATGCGTCTGGATGGACCTCAGAAGGTCATCACAGCACAGAAACATGCACACGTACACACTTCAAACACTCACACACACACACACACACACACACACACACACACACGCACGCACACACACATACACTTACACACACACACGCACACACACACTCTCTCTCTCTCTCTCTCTCTCTCTCTCTCTCACACACACACACACACAGACACAAACACGCTCACGCGCACCCACCAGCACTGTTCCCATCAAAGAGACAACTCTCAAAGCGCAGCCTGGCCGTCCCTGCCACCCTAACCGCCCCCCCCACATGCGTGGGTGCGCTGTTGTCCTTGAATCGGCAGCGCAGGAAGGTGAGAGCCGGCACGCGGTCAGTGAGGCCCGTGGCGTTGAAGGTGTGAGCGTCTATGTTGACGGCGCCACCCCCCAGAGCGGGAGAGGAGTTGTTGTAAAAGATGCAGTTCATGAAGAGACGCTTGGGAGGCACGGGCATTATCGTGATGTTGTCTCTGGTGGGTTGGGTTGGGGAGACAGTAAAAGGGGAGGGAGAGAGTGAGGGAGGGAGGAAGGAAGCGAGGGAGGGAGGGAGGGCTGGGTGGCTGTCGCAGGGAGGAGCCTGCACCAAACACACTCACTTGCATTACACACTCTCGCTTGCATTACGCACTCTCGCTTGCATTACGCACTCTCGCTTGCATTACGCACTCTCGCTTGCATTACGCACTCTCACGCATTACATACACACAATTGCATTACACACTCTCACTTGTACCACACACACTTTCGCTTGCACCACACACACACACTCTCACTTGCACCAGACACACACTCTCAACTGCACCTTGCACAAACACTCGCTCGAGCACCCCTCTCACTCTCTCATCTCCCCCCCAGCTCTCCACTCCCCTACCTGAGCACCCCTCCGCCAGCGTCAGCAGCAGCCACGTTGTGGGCGAAATTGCATTGACTCGCGTTGACTGGCGTCAGCACCTTGGAAAAGACGCCTCCCAGCGCGTACTGGAAGCTGAGGTTGACCAGAGTCAACTGCCCCGCCGTGTTGATCGTCGAGGGGGAGGTGAATATGGGGAAGGCGCCACGCCCGCTGATGATGCACTTGTCGATTCTGGGGAACGGGGAGGGAAGAGATGCGCGAAGAACAGAACGAAGCGGGTTGGAGGGATGGACGAGACGATGACGAGGACGATGCCATGGTGGGTGCAACGATGGTCCCATCCAGTATCGTCCCGATCCCGTACCTACCATTCCCATGTGACCCTACTTTGAACCGGTAACCCTACCACCCACGTGGTAACCATGTTACCTACCCGGTAGATCCGCACGCGCCCTTGATGGTCAGCTTGGCCGCGCCTGAGAGTGCGGGGAGGCGGCTGTTGGGGGGAGAAGGGGAGGAAGGGGGAAGGGGGAAGAGCGAGTGGGAAGGGGAGTAGGAAAAAAAAATATTCTGTTCAGTTGACTCAAGCAAGAAGTGAGAGAGATATTTCTTGAATTTACCATCATGTGATCATGCACATGGTGGCATAGGGCCTGCTTGATGGGACGGGTAGCATATTAAATTGGTGATGGAGGCGTGGTAGCATACACATGTATGCGGAACCAGCTAACTGTTCCTGGCATGAAGCGACAAGCATATAAGTGGCGACATGTGGAGACGTGGATTGACGAGGAACTCACGCCGTGAGCTCTACGTTGGATTTGAGAACGAGCTCTGTGGTAGTCGCGTCTGCTCCCATCTGAGTCGCCATCTGGACACGCACAAACACGCACAATCACGAACAACGCACACACACGACGGAAACGTTTCGAATGAGTCGTTCGGCCGCCCACGTCTCAATCCTTCCTCTAAGTAGATGAAAATTCCAGCTGTCACAATCCGTCGAATATTTGACAAAATGCATATGTAATTGCTACTGTTATACGTTTTTTTTTTTTCGTCGCCTTTCCACGAACGACGAACATCACGCGTAGAAAAGGTATAGATTGGGAACAAAGACGTCCGCAGAAGCACATGAAAACGCGCTGACGAGATCGAAAGCCTAGCGAGCTCGCCTTGCTAATGCCGTTTTCTACTTCGGAATGGCATTTCCCACGCCGCGCCACGACATCGCAGAACGCATACGTGATGGATACACATGCGAAATACTCAGTAATTGCGATACGCGTGATACTAGTAACGGTGTGATACCCAGTGTATGTCGGGTTACTATCGCATCATCCCTACCGAGTTCGCCTTGTTGATTGCATCGTCCAGTACCGACGCCGCGATAGGCGCGGGACCGCAGATGATCCCGATGACCAGCGATGCGACGAGGAGAGAAGCGATGTGCAGGCGCTCTGTGCCACGAGCCATTTTGAGACAGACGACGGTGGTAGCCGAACAGCGTGGAGTGAAAATCAGACAAGCAGCTCTAGTGAGCGGTAATGCGTCGCACTTCGATAGTTTGCACTAGGAGGAACTGTCCTTGGTTTGTACGTGAGACTATTACTAAGTCTGGGAGTAGTAGTAGTGCTCGGTGTGAAAACCAAGTCACGAGGTGAGGATGTGGGAGATCTTGTTCGCTGAGGGCCCAGGGTGTAACACTCGCCTGCGGCAGCTGCGATGTCACCTTTCATCTTCTTTTTTTTCAGCGGCACTTGCGCCTATGGGATCACTTCACCGCATCGCAGGACGCTATCGGAAATGGTGCGAATGGTGCCGGCCGGGCGCTACGGCGCGAATGGTGCCCGTGAGGTGCCGAGAAGCGCGTGGGGAGCAGGGCTCAGTCTGAGCGCTGAGAGCTTGCCAGCCACCCTGTGGGCTGGTCCTAGTGCGATGTGTCCCTGAAATGTGTAAACGTCTCAGGGTTTATCGGCTATCGGGGTCGGACTACATGCATCGGGTTCCCTGTTTCCATGTTACATTCTCCCCCCAAATCTCTACATGCATCCAGTTTGCTCTCCCCACCCATGACGGATCGGGCTCAGGGTTGCCCTGACTGACACCTCTCGTCGTGACTCGTGAATCTCGTCAGGCAAGCCACTTCCAGGTCCCACCTGAGCACATCCTGCTCCCGAATGAACAAGATTGTATCCGTGTATCCTTCAGGTTCCGCTTCGTCACTTGTCGCGAAAGTATCGGCGCCTCATAATGTAGATGTGTTAGGAAATACCTGAGGGGAAGTGTTACCATCTGAGACACTTGAAATTGTTCGCTGGCTACCTGAACGCAATAGAGGGACTGACGAAAGAAGTTCCATAGGTTCGCACATCGTGGTTCGCGAATTCCTGCGCGTCAAATATACACACCACCGTGGATCGCCCGATTTCGCAGCCCGACAAGCCCTTGTCCCCCAGAAGCATATCCGTTGCTATTTTGTTCAGACGTGTTTCAGACATTACATCATTTTCAAACAAAACTAGACAGGCGGTGTAATGAATGTACAATTCATTACTCTATGATTCTCCTTAGCAGGGATGTACTGAGCACTTCGCTTCAGTGTGGCTCGGCCTACACTTTCGCCCCAAACCACTTTCGCGACACTTCCAACCCACGCACGTCTCGAGATCCTCGCCTAGCACGACCTCGCCCTATATATGCTCGTTTCTTTCATTGTATTCCTCATTCTGTAATCACATTCTCTTTATCGAGTCTTCCTCGCACTCTGTTTGGAACAAATAGGTATCAGAGATACTTTCCTAGCTCACCCCGAATTTTAGAGTGAACTCCCTCGAGGGGGGGGGGGGGGGGGGGGGGGGGGGGAGGATGCCGTGGCGTCTAGGAGCCGCGCGCTAGCCGGCCAGGAGAACGGGTAGTTGCTGTTTGTTACAATACCATGAGGGACTTAGCAAAGGATCGTTCATGATTGATCGCATGGTAGTGTTGCAGCGGAAGTGTTGACACCAGATGAGAGTGAATGTAAGTGACTGAGATAATAATAGCATGCATACATCAGGTTTATATAAGAATACAAGGGAATACGAAACGACATAGACTAGCCATGTACTCTAAGGGGTACATTTCCTTATTACAGCGAATTCAAACCGTGCGGCGCGGGAACCTGTTTCGAACATGTTCCCACTCTTTTTATTTCAAATGTTTCTGCCTGCATCGGTCTTGATCAGACGGTTACTGTGCCGCTTCGACTCTTCTGACTCCTCGACTTCATACTCGGTAGAGTCGGCTCCTGCATCATATCATACAGGAATGCTTTCTCATTCAATTTTATATCGTAACACTCCACTTCATTTCTGGTCGCGTAGAGGGCTAAATCTCTTGACTACTCCCGTGAGGTCGGAGCAGTGCTCGTACTGCTGACGTGGGAGTTGCTTCGTAAGGAAATCAGCTGCCATCTCGGTAGTGGGGCAGTATACGAGGTCAACCTTGCCCTGGTCAATTTCGTCCTTGACGAAAAAGTATCGAAGCGCGATGTGCTTCGTACGGTTCACGAACCCTGGCTTGTTCGCAATCTTAATGACGCTCTGGTTATCGCAGTGAAGGCGAAAGGTGGGCGAAGTTGGAATTTTCGCTTCCTGCAACAGTAACTGCAGGTACAAGCCTTCGCGAACTACTGCTGTCGCGGCGATCCATTCTTCTTCGGCCGACGACAGGGCAACCAGCTCCTGCTTCCGTGAGTTCCAGGAGATTGGTCCTGTTGGCTCTAGGCGGAAGACGAAGCCGGTCCATAACCGTCGATTCACAGGATCAGCGGCATGATCTGCGTCCACGTAGCCGTTGCGGAGATAACTAGTACAACGGGAGCTAGGCTACGGGCTAGGCATGGGGCAAGAGTGATCTCTACGTTCGTTCACATAGTCGTTTACGCGTGCTTGCACTATTTGCTGGTTCATGGGGGAATTCGGCAAGAGTTCCACTAGCAAAAGTTCACTACAATGATAGGAACAACATTGGCATCACAGACTACATCAGAGCTAGCTAGGCTGCTGGTCGACCTCCAGCGCAGCATGGTCGACCGCGCTCCAGCGCAGTAGCGCTCGCACCGCTCCAGCGTTGCAGAGTAGCGGTTCGCCAACGTTGCAAGTCCTGTTGGTGCAACCCTACGGTTTGCACTCGGCTTGTTGTCCGTGTGCGTGAATGTGTGTGTGTATGGAATGGTATGAGGGCATGGGATAATATATATTTCATGCTTATAATTGTGTGTGAATGTTGAGTCATGATGTCGAGTGTGTGTGTCGAGTCAATAGCGAGTTATCGCTAGACGCGTGTTACGCGGTCGTTTGTGTCTCGCGCGCGGTTTCTATTTTGTCGTGTGTCTCGTGCGCGGTTTCTATTTTGTCCTGTGTCGAACGTTCGGCGTGTCGCAGGTGTGTGCAGCAGACCCATCAAGAACTCAAGGATGAGTTTGTGATGAAGAGCCCGAGCCTTGGTGTCAAGCCTCAAGTGATTTCGAAGCTCGCCAAAAGGGTACACCTCAAGATATTGAAGATAGTTACATTACTTTGTGTAGTGTAACATTTCACTTGGTGTAGGCCCTAGTGAAGGGTAGTTTCGAGACCCTTCGTGGTTGGGGACAGTGTGGCACTGTTCCACATCACTGTACCTCGGCTCTTGGGGTTTGTAGGAGCTGGGAGTCATTCCCAACTCGTAACTCTTCCTATCTTGTGTTCTAAGACTATAGTGGCTGCCATAGTACCGTTCGTTCAAACCGACGCTGTGTCGTCAATTCTTTATCAAATCGTGCAATCTAAATTGCTAATTGTAGACGACGTAAAAACGCTCCAGATCCAATTTGAATCAAGTGATTTGCAGCTGTGAGCAGAACGCTATCAACGTTTGAAGCCGCTGTGCAGAAATCCGTCTGTGCTCTCTATCTTTCGTTTTGGGCACATTCAAGCCTATTGTGACTATAACAAGTGGTATCAGAGCCCCTTGGAGCAGTTTCGACAATGTCTGGACCTGAGAAAAGGGGTGGCAGAGGTGCTGGTGGCAGTGGAGAAGCTCAAGCTCAAGGCCAACCCCGTGATTCAGCCATGGCGCCCATGCAACCAAGTCTTGGCCCACCTAGGGATGAGCCTAGGGTGTTTGGGCTTGACAAGTTCAACGGTGACAACTTTGCTGAATGGTCCTTCAAGATGGAGAACATCTTTGACCACTATGACCTGCTGGAGGTGATGGAAGGAACGGAGAAGCGCCCCGAGAACGACCCGGAGAAGAGCCCGTGGGTGCGGAAGAGCGCACAAGGCTATCTCTTACTTGGGCAAGCGTTGGGGAGCAGTCAGATCCGTCACATCAAGCCATTCCAGCGTGAACCAGAGAAAGGACCAAAGGCATGGGCTGCTCTCAAGGGTGTACATGCTCCTGCAACAGCGGCGGTAGCGGTGGTGTTGGAACGGCAAATGGCGGCACTACGAATTGAAGAAAACGAAGCGGTTGAAGAAGGGGTGCAGAAATTCTTCGACTTGTTGACGCGGCTTGAGGGAGCTGATTTGAACTACAGTGAGCTCCAAAAGAAGACCAAGTTGCTGGCCTTACTCCCAGAGTCATGGTCCTCGCTCATCATCAACCTTAATCGCGACTTGCCCCGCCTCTCGCTTGAAGACGTGAAGCGAGCTATCCTTCAAGAGGATTTCCGCCGCCGTGAGTTGGCGAGTGCGGATGGCGCTGGGGCAACGAGCATCGGCCGTGGATATGGTCGAGGAAGAGGCAGAGGACGAGGGGGAGGAAGGTTTGGTGGCAGCAACTTTGGCGGAGGCCGCAGGAGTGGAGGTAACGGCAGCGACGACAAGAGCTACGGACGCGGTCGCGGCCGATTCGACGGCGAGTGTCACTATTGCCACAAGAGCGGACACATGTGGCGCGACTGCTACAAACTCCCTGATGGTTGGACCCCTGCTCAAGGCCAAGAGGGTAGAGGAGCAGGAGGAGGGAGAGGACGAGGCCGTGGAGGCCGTGGCGGTCGCGGTGGCGGAGCTGCAAACATGAAGAGCGGAGACAACGACAAGGACCCGAGCGACGATCGATACCCGGGTCTATTCTACTTCGTGTCGACGCAAGTACCGGCTGGTCCAGAGAAGGATGAAGGCTTTGAAGAGCCAGCAGCTGTGGGGAAGGTGACCCTACACCCCCTGGACTATTGGGTGATTGATAGTGGCGCTACCTATAGCATGACACCTCGCCCGGACTTGCTCACCGAACTCGAGCCGTCACCGGTGAAGCATGTCACATCGGCTTTGGGGCAGCGAGCAGAGGTGAAAGGCATGGGCAAGGCCATGTTCAAGGGTGCTGATGGGAAGATGGTGGGCCTCAAGAACGTGCTTTGGGTGCCCAGCCTTGCTGCAAACCTGATTTCCGTGCGGCGGTTGGCAAAGGCCGGCATGGACACGAACTCGAAGGGAGCCAAGACCTACACCGCA